TACCACTGTCATCGGGGACTTTGGTCGGAAATAGGAACTTTATGCAATCCTAACTGAGGGCACTCTGCTTTTTAAGATTCAAATACTATCAGACTTTATTATCCTCACTGCCACCTAGTACAGTAGGGAACTCAGTGTCATTCAAGGCACATCAGGGGATTCTAAGAAGCTTGATTTCCTTCTGGCCACATGAGCCTTCTTCCTCGGCTGTACTTTTTATAGCAAGATGTGCTGCTGGTTCTTTCTTCCCCAACACCATCAGCTCAAGGTACATGTTGCAGGTTATTCCATAAATGTAGTTTCAGTGTTCATGCTCCCCGACTATGTTCCCTGATTTTTTTTCCTGTAGGGAGTTAACGTTTTGTTACAGCCCTAGGCGGGAGGGGAGACACCTCTTCTCCCTAGTCGACCTGTCCTTTATCCCTGACCTTCCAGGCCACTGTTCATTTCTTTAATTCTTTGACTCTTCTTTTAAATCCTCACCTGAGGACATGGTTTTTGATTTTAGAGCAAAAGGAAGAGGGAGAGGGGAGACGAGAGAGTTGACTGCCATCTAGGTATGTGCCCTGAGTGGGGATCGAACCTGCAACCTTTTGATGACAGGGTCACACTCCAACCACGTGAGCCACTGGGCCAGGGCCTGAGTTACTGTTTCTTTCTCACTCAGCAAATTTTAGGTGTTTCTATTTTATCTTGTCTCAGCCCCGCTGTCCTGCAAATTCACAACGAAAAACCCCCTTTAAAGTGTGATTGCACGACAAAAGGGTTTTTTCCTTAAGAAGAATTTACTTGACATGGCTTAATTTATTTTATTTTGTTCCAATTATGTTCTTATTTCCCCTCACTCTAGTTATGCTCATGTCACAGTGGCACTCACAGTAACAGGGACAGAAGTTATGATGGTGGCATTAGCTAGAAAAACACAGACGGGAAGAAGGCCCCGTGATCCTCTGAACCCACTGCTTCACGCGTGACCCCTTTATGCAAATATTTCCCACCCTTTTCCAAGTGGAGGGAGAAGAGAGAACCTGCTTCCTCGGCAGTGAATGCAGTGTGCACGGTGTGGATGGAACCTTTTCAGTTCTCCCTGGTAGAAATGTGTCTCCTCTGTAATTTTGTTGCATATTGAGATGATTTTTGGTGTTCTGGGCCTCATGCCTATAACCTATGCCTTTGTCCTTGAGATGTATGTTTTTCTTGTACCTGATCCTCCTGAGTTCTTTTTATTTAAAACATTTCATTACGATATACAGGGTGGGGCAAAAGTAGGTTTACAGTTGTGAGTATGCAAACCAGAGCTTATTCTTGCATTATTATTAAGTTTTATTGTATTATTTTCCATGTGAACAACTGTAAACCTAATTTCGCTCCACCTTGCATTTAAACATAGAAAATTATAAAAATTTATGCTCATAATTTAACATTAACAAATGTTACTAATTTGTTCATTTTATCTGGTCTTTTTTTTTTTTCTGGTCAGGAAGGGGGAGAGAGGGAGAAATACCAACGCGTTGTTCCCCTTATTTATGTATTCATTGTATGTGCCCTGAGTGGGAATTGAACATGTAACCTTGGCATATTGGAACGATTCTATAACCAGCTGAGTGCCCAGCCAGGGCTGGTCTTTCTTTTTGAAAGAAGCACACTGTTGAGGATAGCCCCGTTCCATCCTCTTCCCTTTTTATTCCTCTTTATCCCTGACAGAAGTGACCGGTGTTCTGAAGCTGGTGTTTATCTTTCCTGCCTATGATTTTAAAATCTGACTCCATGTATGTGTGGCTGCTGCAATACGCAGGGTTATGCTGCAGGTTTGGAGCCCTTTTCTCTGACTCTGCTCCCCTTGTGAGTGTCCATCTCCTCCTGCCAGCCCCCTCTTGCCTCCTCCTCCAGGCCTCCTTCAGTTACTCCCTCCACACTGCACCATCGGGCTCTACTTCCTGTCTTTGTCTTCCTTTGCTCTTGGGGCTCCGTGTTCGATCACTTTAATTTCTGTTTGTGGCCTTGAAGATTAACAAGCTCGGTTTTTCTCTGCCCTTATTTGAGATAGTTATGATGGTATTTCTGAAAACCGGAGAAAGAAATGCAGTTTAATTACTGTCAAATATAGAAACACTACTGAGGAAAGAAGAAGGAGAGTTCTGTGTTTTGGAGGATTTGATACTTCATAACATCAGGCGTGAATTACTTACAATTGGCATGTTCGTTGTTTGAATGTAGCACTAAAGGCATTTGCGTTTGGATTAATAGTAATTTTTTTGTGAAATTTTGCTTAACAAAATTCTATTCATCCTCCTAGATATTAGTAATGCTTCATTTTATGATCTATACATGATAGAGATTTTTATGTTTCTCTTTAAATTATCCCAAGTGAAGTTTATTGTCAACAGGAGGTTTCCTTCTTTCATTTGAAGTGTATTGTTCACCTGCCGCGTGCAAAGCACTCTGTGAATGGAGGTGGGTCGAGCTGTGCTCTTAAGGGTCATACCAAATGCTTACAGCAGATGTACAGGGCTCAGAAGAGTTCACAGTCTTCGGTCAGAAGGCAAATATTTGTTCAGATACTGCAGGGTGAGGATATTCATTCAGGTACTGTGAGGAAAATCACCGAGGCTGGTGATCACCTAGGCTGCATATTCATTCAGGTACCGTGAGGAAAATCACCGAGGCTGGGGAGAGCAAGGGGCAGGAGGGATGGTTGTGACCGGCGTTTCATGGCCTGTGTGAGGAACTGGTGTTGGGGTTTGATGGACATACGAAATCCTTGGTTGTATGTTCTTCAGTATTTGAAAGGTATAGGAGCTCAGAGGTGACTTATATATAGTCTGGCCATCAGTTCTATTATTAGATAACAGTTACCTTTCAGTTTTCCTGTAGATATTCCGAAGTCACACATTCCATTAGCTCTTCCTGACCTCCCAATCCAAATAAAACATTAAGGAGCTAAAAGTAAGAATGGAAAAGAATTGTCTAAGATCGTTCTCAGCTCTGGTCAGGGTATACTGTTGACCCCAATGCACTCTGGGTGGTGGCTTACCTAAGACTGTGTCCTTGGTTGACTCTCTCAGTGAATGTTCTGGAAGCTCACAAGCTCTCTGCTCGCTTCTTTCCACCTGCACACCATCTTGTTTCTTCGCATAAAACTCAGAATTCTCTCCCCAGGGCCGTCAGTGTCTTCCTGTAATGATTCGTAATTATAAATTGTGAATACACACACAGCGCATGAGTGAATACCTATTTCATGCTCACAAGAGAGGGGTCAGTGGGTGGGAGGGGAGGAGAGAACTTACTTTCTAATTGAAGATGGACCTTTTGCAGCATTTTTTTAAATCTGATGTTTTTCTAGTTTCAGCCTCTTCTCAGCTTACCTACCTGCTTACCATTTATGATTTAGGTACATAGATGACATTTTGCTATTGTACCCTGCAGGCTAATACTAAGAATTAATGTTTTAACTTCTCTTCCTAGTCAGAAAAGAGCCCAGAACACTAAGACTTACAATTACAGATGGTAAGTAAGCAATACCAGCTGCATAGTCTTTTTCACTTAAAAACTTTCGCACTTGAACTTTTATTTTTGGAAAATAGATTCCTTCAGAGTCGTAATGTCTGGAAGATCACAAGGGGCCTGTGGGTGCACTTGTGACACTTCTGCTGCAATAGCTTCAGGTTAAGGATCTCAGCTGGAAGTGAATTTTAAAGGGTTTTAAGAAAGAAGTTTTAGGTTTATGAGGTCTAGTAACTGTAGACAGTTTGGAGATATACAGAGGGACATTTGCCACCCTATAATTTTCCCAAACGACACTACATATTTTATGGTTTAGAAAACAGAGATTGAGGCAGTGAGATCAAACCGACTTTATTTCCCCCGGAGCCACTAGTGCTTGGTCAGCTCGGTATTGTCTGTACTCGGCAGGATAAGGCAACACTCGGTGTCCCTAAGTCTTGTCCGTGTTGAGAAATGACACAGCAGGGCTTGAGAGTCAGGCAAGTGTGGTGAAAGGAGAAGGGAACACTTTTCGGGAGGGACAGGAAAACTTATCCAAGATTTTCCACAAACTTCAGGTTAATGAGTTTTTGTACCTTTTTTGTTTTAAAGTTTCTTCACCCATCAACACTGGGGTTTGTTGTTCTTCTTTCTAGTGCTAATTCTCTTCCTATTGGGGTCGTTCTTGTTAAACCTGTACCATGTGCTTAGTCCCGTGCTGGCAATGGCACTTCACGTCTCACCTCATTTAATCATCAACTTACCACGCGGTAGTAGTTCAGCCCCTTCTCAGCCCGGGGTCGGAACGGCGGCTCCAGGTCCTGGCACGGCAGGGAGCGGGTGGTTAACAGGTGCCCACCCGCAGGTTGGGGTCCATCCGTCATGCATCTCCTCCCAGTCTGTGGGAAGCAGTAACAAATATTGTGAAAATTTCATAAAGCTAAAGATATATGCGATTACTCTTGTCATCCTTTTACTAAAAATATGTTCTTTGATTTATCAAATAATAGTGATAGCAGAAATCTTTTTCATAGGCCCTGCTTATCAAAGTAAAACATTTGCAAGTCTGTGTTGGTTCTCTCTCTCTTTTTCTCTGTTACTTGTTAGTTGATCTAAAAGCCTCGCCACACCTGGCTTTAAAAAATACTGCCTGAAATAAACCAATTTGGCATGTTCCCAATCCAGTGTTAAGAGCAAAGTTATTAAAAATGAAGGGAAGCAATGCACCTTTTAGACATTTAATTAATCTTTAGCAATTATGTAGAGTCTATATTTGATCTGGTGGTAATGAGATTTTGTACGCTGTAGCATCATTCTGAATGTCATCTGAATTGGGTTTTTCCCTGTGAAGATTTAGTATTAACTGTTGACAAGAAATACTCTTCAAGGAAATGGTATTCCCTGAAGGGATGTATCGTTTCCCATCTTCCACGAAAGCCCTGGTTCAGGAATCTTCTTGATTTGTTAGCCGTTGGTCTTCTTCTGTACTGATGGTGCTCTGCTTGCTTTTTCCTTAGTGATACCAATGAGGTGGACATACCGCCCAACACTCGAGTTGGCACCAAGCGCTATATGCCCCCAGAAGTGTTGGATGAGAGCTTGAACAGAAATCACTTTCAGTCGTACATCATGGCTGACATGTACAGTTTTGGGCTCATCCTTTGGGAGGTGACTAGGAGATGTGTGTCAGGGGGTAAGTAACTGAGACCGCGGGGCTACTACAAATCTGTTTTGCTGATCAGAACTCGAAGTTCTGTCTACAAAATGAAATTTTCTTTAACTTTTCTCTTTGTTTCTGTTCACTCAGTCACAGTCTCTCAGGAAAGGGTATTTCACATCAGACAATTATCTTGGATTGCCTTCTTCCCTCTGCCTATGTCTCAGGAATCTCATCTAGACACAATGTCAACCTCCTCTGCCTTTGCTAAGATCCCCTTGTTCTATTTTATGTATTATCTCAGTTCTCTCTTGAGCCCTTCCTGCAGCAGTTGCTTCGTCAGATCAGCCCCCTTCTCTGCCCTGTCCAGAGTCTTCTTACCGGTCTGCTGCCCCCCCCCCCACTCCAGTGCCCCATTTTCTCTGGCTTCCTCTGCTCAGATGAAGAGACAAAAGTATGGAGTGGGAAGCTCATTATTTAACCTCCCCACTTCTTTCTATAATTCTTCCTCATAAAGCAATTTAAAAACATTAGTTTTTATTGAAAGGAAATTAAAGTCTAAGAATATTATTATTGGTCACGGTCATTTATTTGACAAATGTAAGGTTTCCCTAGTAAGACTAACTGAATAAGAAGGCATCCTTAAATATTCTGAGATGTTGTTATTGCCTGTAGTACTTTGCTTACTGCTACGTAATTTGTCTTTTAGTAGATTCCAACGCCTTTCAGGTGAGGAGCTGAGTCTTAGGCTCTTTAGCACCCTAACTACCATGTTTATGGTTTTACTCACGGTTGTGCGGTAGTTCGTGTGTGTGAAGAAAACCCCAGTGCTGCTGCTCTTCCTCACAGTGGCCAGAGAAACCCACCTTCACGAAAACCCGAGCTTGCCGAAGACTCGGAAAGCATGGCTTACCCTTAATGAACACTGGCATTTGGTCTTAGCCCTGCCACTTGTTATCTGTGAACCTTTGCCTACTTACATTTAGAACCTTATTTACATATAAAGGAGAGACAGTTAATCAACAGGCATTCATACTTTTGTAGAAAGGTCACGTTTGGTGATGTGGCCTCTTCTGGCCACTGGCAAGTCTGAGCTTCTCAAAGACTTATGTTGAAATAGAATAACACCTTCCCTCTAAAGTTGAGAGAACTCCTTTTGTCCCAAAGGAAAGTTGATGGAAGAAACTTCCTATTCAAATATTGAATAAATCTCCCATCATAAATATGAAGAAGAAAAGAAGTAACCAAAATATCGATTAACTGCCTGTGCAATGATTTCCTGTTTTATAAAGAGTAAATGAGTGTATTTTTGAATAACATATCGGTACCTACTTAGGATAAGTCTATAGAAGTTGAAGGAATTAGAGTCCAAGGTTACATTTCTAGCCGTGTTTTCCTGAACATCTGCAACAAATGGGCTGCAAGAGCCCTGTGTCTGAAAGCCTGTGGGGCAGAATGTGGGAGACGAGATCGGTAGCTGAAAAACAAGCTGGGGCAGTAATTGCTTCCCTGGGGCCGTGTTGGCCTCTGAAGATTCGAGAGGCACTAAACTGATGGCTTATCTCTGCATGAGACTGATGCGTTTGTCAGAGGTGTGAGAGTTCAGTTCTCCCCCAAACCAACTTAGGCTACTTACTTGATCCCTCAGAACCAAGGTTCCTCATCTCCGCAGTGTGGAAAATAATGCTGCCTCATAAATGTGTTTGGAAGAATTTAATGCAGTATATAGATGTTGAGTCCCTTTGTGACACCTGAAAATAATATAATATTGCATGTCAACTATACTTTAATTAAAAAAAAAAGATATATAGCATACCTACCTTTGTGCCTGGTACATCATAGGCTCTCAACAAATGAGTTTCTTTCCCCAAAGGGGCAAAGCAGACAAAATTCTGTTCTCCAGCACTGTTTTAAAATGAAGATGTTAGAAGTTTTGGGCTAGTCTTTCTAGTCTGTGTAATTTTGGGTGAAGTAGACACATCCAGATATAGGCCTTTCAAACTTTGTAAAGAAAAGAAAGTAAGTTTTGAGGTTTCAGACACAATGAAATGGCAGCTAATACAGACATTTTGCTAACATAATTGGATGGTAGAAATAATTAAGGCCTATAGTTCAAAGATAAACTTTGAGTAATTTATAATTTGACATGACTTGGCCTGTGTCTGTTGGTCTATATGCACCTCTCCCAGCACAGAAGCACCAGCCGGCCAGGCAGCGACACTGACATTGGGCGCTGAGAAAACACGAGTGAGTAAGGCAGACCGCCTTTGCCCTAAAGACAGTTCCAGAGCAGCTGTCTGGGGAATTAGAAAGGAAGGACGACTGGAATGAAGTGAGCATCTCCTGTGTGTTAGACTCTGCGTTTTTATTATGGAATGAAGTGAGCATCTCCTGTGTGTTAGACTGCGTTTTTATTATCTCCTGTAGAGACGGAACACAATGGAAGGCAGTGTTATCATAGATAATAGAAACAATTCTGTCCAGAGGACGAGTAAGTGGTGTGTTGGAACGGTCGGAGAACACCTTCGAACCTTCTGGTCCTTTATAGTTGTACACGAGTTTGAGTTGGCTTGTTAAAGGGCATACTACAGAGTCCAGATTTTGTCTGAGTAAATCCCCAGTGAATTTAGTGACACAGCCACTAAAGTGCATAGAAGATAATCTGCCATCCCACTTGCAAGGGTAAAAAGCAGTGACATTTCTATAGAAGATGATTCAGGATAGAGAATAGGGTGCTCCAAAAAGATTGCTCAGAGCAGCATCCTCTGAGGACAGAGGCTTCTTGTAATTATCGTGAGGAGTTAAACAGATGGGTTTATAAAGAAGCCACAAGTATGCAGGCATTTTAAAGAACAAGAGGAGAAAGGTAGAAATTGAATATTACAATAAATAAGCTAGCCTTTATAATGATAAGAGCAATTTCCCTAAAGATGACACAAAGGTTTGTGTTTCTTAACCTTTCTTTTAACAATACGCATTTTTCCCTACTAGTAATGTATTTTTTGTAGATGATCTGGATAAGTACAGAAAATTTAAGGAAAAAAGTCAAATAGTCTTTGCTCTTAAAGAATCATGGTTAATGTTTTCAGGTATGTATAATTCTCCAAATTTTAAATGTACAAAATTGCATTTTTATGATTAAGCATAAAAAATGTAAATGTGACTTTTTTCAAGTAGAATATACAGCCAAGTTTATTATATGATTCATAACCTCATACTGCCATAAGAGAAACAATCACATATTATGCAATATGAGTTTGGGATGTGCCTGCCAAATCTGCATGGAGATTTAATATAGGTTTTTAAAAATTTGGCATACAAGAGCCTTTATAAAATTGGAAATAAATTTGAGATGCTTGTTTTACTTAGTTTTTGGAAATTAGAAAAATGTCTTGAAGACCTGTAACATTAGGTCTTCTATGCACTTGAAAAATTAAATTGTCATCTGAGCACATTTTCCCCCAGGATTTGTTTTGCTGTTGTTCAACCTGAACTTGCCTTTAGTACTGATAGAACTTTTTTTTTTTTTTGAGGACAGTTTGTATGCTAGACTTTTATTTCAACTCCATAGAAAAAATAATAATAAAATCATATTTTCAGGAGTAGTGGAAGAATACCAGCTTCCCTACCATGATCTGGTGCCCAGCGACCCCTCTTTTGAGGACATGAGAGAGGTTGTGTGCATCAAAAAGCTGCGTCCCTCCTTCCCCAGCCGGTGGAGCGGCGATGAGGTAAGCCTCCAGGAAACCACGTGCTGTATAAATTGTCCATTTTTGCCAAAATGCCAAATGTTCATTACAGGAATTCTTTTTTTTAAGTTTTATTTATTTATTTTTAGAGAGAAAGGAAGGGAGGGAGAAAGAGAGGGAGAGAAACATCAATGTGTGGTTGCCTCTCATGTGCTCCCCTCTGGGGACCTGGCCCGCAACCCAGGCCTGTGCCCTGACTGGGAGTTGAACTGGTGACCCTTCGGTTCATAACCCGTGCTCAGTCCACTGAGCTACACCAGCCGGGGCAGGATTTCTTTTGCTTTGTTTTGATGGGGATGATAATAATTCCACACTGCCATAATTAAGTGTAGTATGGTATATTATCTGTTTCTTTTTTTATTTAATTTTGCCACTTCTAAAATATATTGAGTGCATTAACATTTAGCCAGCATAACAGATAACATTATTTCAGTTATTTGTGATGTCCTGACATTTGCATAAAGGCTGTATTTCTCTGTGTGTGTGTGTTTTCAAAGCATCATGAATTTTCTCCATGACAAATCCACGCACAACATTCTCTCATTTTGATGACAGAGAAGATAGGCGTCTGAAAAATGCATCTTTTCTACACACACAGTGGTTCAAGCTGACCTAGTTTGTTAATAAGGATGAAGAGATGCAGTTTCAGCAGGTCCACGTGAAACTGGGCTGTGAGGAGGTGGTGAAACCTAACACAGGCCTGTCTGCTCAGAAGCTGTTGGGAAGGAGGAAATGAGGGGGGCGGGCCTTGCCTCTCCTGACTCATCGGCTCTGCATCCCCCTCCGCCTGTCCTCCAGCTTGTAAACTCACCCAGGTTCTGGATGCCCTGGCAGGCGGCCACCTTCAGAGATGTGTTTGAAGCATCAAACACGTACCGGAGCCAGTGCAAACACATGGGCAGGGCACCGTTTATAAAATAATTTTTCAGTGTTAAAGGCATTTCAAAATAACCTTTGGTTCATTGGTTTTGTGTCTGGTTACTGAAATGCTAAATTATACATTGTTTTCCAACGAACTATGCAGAAAGCTTTATGAGATGCTGGAGTTGCATTACTTTGAAGGTGGTCATGGGCATTGGTATTTCCCCCGATTCCTTCACTGAGGATTTCTAATGAAGTGAAATTGTGCTCTTCAACAGGAAGATCAATAATTGATGTAGGAGAAAGTTTTAGCCAGACTCTACACAGGTCATTAATCTTATTAGATGCGACATTGTGATGCTATTATTATAGCAGACAGCTGTGATTTAGGAGTAGCCACGTTTGTTTGAATAGTGTGGAATTAGAGAAAAGATTTAAGCTTATCAAGTGTTGAAAATAATCTTAGAGTGTGGAGTGGAATACTGACTCCCTGGGTATTTTTGTATTTATTTCCTATTGACTTCAAAGGCACTCTTCTTCAATCAGCAGAACCACCTGCTTGCTCCTATCATGAGGGAGGCATGAAAACCTGTTTTAGTCATTGAAAATTTGCATGAAAAAAGAATTTTTATGAAATTTTGTCTGCCTGGTTTTAAAAGTATCTTTTAAAGTGTATTTAGAGTTTAGAAATGCAAAGCTAAAAGCCAAACACGTATCAGTACCACGGGTCAGCCTGGCAGCTCAAATGCACGCGTCTCTAAGGGCTCTAATGCTGCTCACCGTCCCCTTCCCTCCCACAGTGTCTCCGGCAGATGGGGAAGCTGATGACCGAGTGCTGGGCGCACAACCCGGCCTCAAGACTGACGGCCCTGCGTGTTAAGAAAACACTCGCCAAAATGTCGGAGTCCCAAGACATTAAACTTTGATCTGAGGGGCTGGGGGGCATTGCTGGAGAACGTCAGATCTTCTTTTCTTCGTGGGCAAAGCAAAAAATGTTCCAGAAGCATCCACAGTACAAGCCTTGAAGGTAGCCTTGCTTCCCAGTGGGTTCAGCCTCGTCTCTCAGGGAGCAGCCTCGACAAAGAAGTTCCCAGAAACAGATTCATCATGTCTGGAGGAGGTCGAAACTGCTTGGGTAACTTGTTCAAGAAATGATGCTTTTTGCTTTCTAAGAAAGCCCCATATTTTGAGATTGCCCCCTTTTATCCCTGAAAGATGCTTTAATTTTGCCAAAATATAACAAATAATTTAGGTGTTTTAAGGTTTATACTAGTATAGTTTAAATAAGAACAATGAAAATTCTTGCCGGAAATTCTGCTGGAAAGTGAATTAAAATAGTTTTTCCATTGGTAAAATGTTATTGCACTCTACACACCAAAAGACAGTCTGTGAAGTTGGAGAATGCAGAGTGGAACTCTCTGGAAAGCCCCTGCCCCACCCCTCAGACCACTTTGGCCTGCCCGCTCTGGGCGCAGCCTCAGCAATGTGAATGCACCTGGGTACAAACACCACCTGCCTGGGACCGCCCGTGGGCGTTCCTGCAGGTGACCTTTTGCAGCTTCAGAGGATATGGAACAAATGAAGACTTTATGTGATTCTAGTAGAAGTAGTAAGTGTCAGTGTTCTTCTTCAGAGCCATGTGGTGTTTCAGACTCTGTTGGGTATTTCTTTCATGGTCGAATCCCTTCCTTTTCATTAAATACAAACAAAGCCTTTTTTTAAAAAAAAAAATAACATGCAGAGAATCGACCCAAGCATGCTTTTGATCTCTCATTGAAGAGTTCAATATTAAATAAAATTGCCATCAGTTGCGTTGAAGACCACACGCTTTACAACAGAGATAATGGGCTCTTGTGTTGTAAGAAGACCATGTCAGTAGCGCAGAGGGTGGGGGAGCATAGGGCTCCTTGCTCATATATGCAGAGGAGCCGATCTCAGAAGCACAAGGGGAAAGTTACGCGCACCTTACTTTGTATAGATAAAACCAGTTTCTTTTTGTTATTATCTGTCTCTTTTGTGTCTAAGAGGAGAAGAAGCATATGTCAGGTTAATTTAACTAAATTTTAATTTAAAAAAATAGATACGTATAACCTGCAAATGGGAAAGCAGAGGAGAGCTAGTGGAGGCCACCCAATGGTATGGCTGCTGTGATTTATTTTGCTAGAATAGCTATGGACTGAGTCTGTACATCGTAAGTGATAATTTCACATCTTAGGAATACTGACTCTATTTTATTTTATTTTCATACTGTTCAGTTCCCTTTTTAATTTATTAATTTTGTATTCTCTGTGGCAACTGTGCAAAACATCTCTTTACTGCTCAATTCTGCCGTATTTTTCATTTTGAGCAACGTAAGTCCAATCATTGACAGGGCCCATGTTCCTGAGCAACAGGACCATAAAGTTCAAAATCGTATGCATCCCCCTCGCCTTTATTCATTTACATGTCCTTACTATGGTTTTCGTTCGCTGCTCAGCAATTCTGTAATTTAGTGAGGAATCAGGAAGTGCTTCCCCCTCAGCCTTTTTTAAAAAAGGACGTTTCTTCCAGACTACTCTAGGGGGCAGTGTTTCGTAACGCATTTTCACCACTTGCTGACTGAAGGATGGAGATTTTTTGAAAATTTGACAGCTGCATGAAAAATGGGAAAATGTTTTTCTCACTTCTGAAGTCGGCTTGCAGCTGGCGGCTTGTTCATTCAGAAAACATCCAAGAGCAAAGAGTGACTGTGCGCTCTGCTCAGTTGGGGAGGATCCTGAGAAGAAACACAGTGTTCTTATAAGCAACCTTCCCTTCCCAGTGCTTCATAGCCACATTTTGTTTGTAACAAAGATTTTTTGATTCTTGAATATGGACAAAATTTTTAAAAAATTAAACACATTTGCTTCCAAATGTAATTTTAATCAGAATGCTGCTTTTGGTGATATTGAAATAACCTGACTGGCAGTGCGATGATGGTTGCTTTCTCTTGTGTCAAATTGTGTTTTGTGATAGCTTAGAAGGAATTTGTGGCCTGAACTAAGCGTGATAATCATCTGAGCCATGGAGAGAAACTTCAGTGCCTCTGATCAGGTCATCTGCAAACAAACAAGTACACATTCATGCCAATTAAGTGGGGACGTGTTTTGGTTTCTTGATTTTTCCTAAATGTTAGTGAGGTTGGACTTATTTTTTAGACAAAAAATGTGTGTTCTTCTTGGTAAGTTTTTATATCCAGTAACTTCAAATCAGAATATTTTGTTGGGAGCTGATGATTTGAAAGTAAACTAGATTTCTAGGGAGGTGTTAGTTCTAATGAAGAATAGCTGAGACTTTCCTCTATATTACTTGATTAGTTGCTTTGGAAAAATCAATAGCTTACTTTCTAATTCTCAGCCTGATTCACTCACCATAAACATTTAAAAATTATTTCTGAGATACTTCAAAAACATCTACTTATATAGTCTTTCAATGCAACAAGGATTTATTTATGAATAGATTTTCCTGTCTTCCCAAAATTCATCTTACTTAGAGAATCCTAAATTGTTCTTAAAAAGACTACCTACTCACTTCCAAATAATTCTTTTTCATTTGTAAATTTCTAGTAGCTCAGAAGTGAATTGTATTTTTATTTTATTTTATTTCCTTTTTGTTTTACCTTTCTATGTAATAAGTGGGAACCTGGAAAATAATAATGTAGTTGATTTCTTACTGTAAGGACTATTTCAAAGACTAAGATTTCCTCCTAGTCGCACCCCCAAAGGAACCCTCAAATACTAGTTGCTAGCTAATATAAGTTTTGTATGCTAAGATGATCAGGTTTATAGTTTATTATGTGTGTATATTTTCTACAAATATATATGTATATATAAATATTATGTTCAAGTTGGAGTCTGGCACAACTCCATTTTGTGGATTAGAGAGTTAAATATTATGGATGATAAAGCACTAAATGAAACATAATATTTATTTATGAAAGTTGTGTAGATTGTTAACTCATGAGTAACAGTGCTATGAACGTCGTGCGTGAGGAGACAGGCTTGGACCTCCTGGAAAGCTCCGCTCAGAAGTCACTAGTGACCATTCTTTTTACTCTCAAAACATGAAGCTGCTTAGAGAGCATGCTAAGATTTTATTTACAGGGAATTCCTTGTTTCACTTGTGTACTTGGGTGTGGCAAGGACTGAAAAACAACTCAATTTCATGTTTCTAGAGTCATGCATATTCATGAGAAGTTCCAGTGTTTTATGTTGTCGGTCTGTTCTAGTTTTTCTCTGTTCTAGTTTTTCTCTGTTTGTAGGTGGAAAGGCACCGAAAGAAGTACAGTTTTTAAACTTGAATAGTTCTGTGGTTATAACTCCTTGGAAAACTCAGTCATGTAGCAGTGGAAATGAGCAAAATGGCTCCAGAAGTGATTTAATTTAGCAATCATGATCCTCTTATAAAACAAAACAAAAAAAAACAATGCCATATTTTTTAGAGAAGAGTTGGCAGTATATAAAGGGTTTTGTTTTCTGTTTCAAAAGAAGACTTATTTGTGTTCTTTTGGGGAACCAGTGCCTTATTGAATTTGTATATACTGTAATTATTCAGGACTAGGGAACAAACAATTGTATTGGTTACAAATTGTTTATGGCTTTGTTTGAACATTCCCCCAAATAAAATGGTTTCATTCTCCCCTTGGAAACAACGTGTCTGTTATGTTACAGTTGTGCCTTTTTTCTGTCTTTGAAAATGCCACATTGTAATGGGTGGGAAGGCAGCCACGGAGAGGAGAGATGCAGGTGAGTTTATACACTTGGTGGCAGGAGGGGGAGAAGCCACGGTCCGACGGCTTCTGTTTTCCCTGTAATGAGGAGGTGCAGTCATTTTCCGAGAGTGAGAGAAAAGTAGGGAAGGCAACGGTTTAAAGAAGTGAGCATTGTACTGCGGAAAATGACAGCCAGATGGCTGTGGGCAGCGCAGGGCCTGATTGAGTTGGATGCTGTGCTTAGTGGGGAGGGCGTGGCCTCTGGACGGAGGGACCGCCCCACATGTGTCTCCAGGCTCACTCCCTCCCTAGGCTGAGTGACAGTAGGCACGTTCTAACCTCTCAAAGATTCACTTTCTTCCCCTTGAAGATAAGAATCACACTAATGTCTATTGCATGGAATGGTTCTGAAGATGAAATGCAATCTACTTACCAGGCCCCTTTTCTCTGTAGTTTTAGGTTTCATTTTTCTACCAGCAACCCAGATGTGGGCGTGGACACTGCAGTAATTGGATTCATTCAGCCTGGGGTTTACCAGGCCTATGGAGCAAAGGGCCATAGAAAATAAAGATGATCGTCATTGAGGGCATGGCTGACATTGTCCAGAGTTGGGACAGGATTAAAGGGGAGCTGGCTGATAGGTCAAAGGGCAGGGCGCCCTGATGGGTTGAGGGAGCACACTGGCAGTTTTTGAGAAAGAGGCTGTGGTCAGAATGGAGATTCAGAAAGGACTAAGCACAAGACCAAGGGCATGATCGCCGTCATGCATGGATGTGGCGGACAAGATCGCTGGTGATGAAAGAGGGGATTTTGAAGCTCCCAGGATGGTGGCACAGGGGGAGGCCAGATCCCAGAGCTCTCCAGTGGCCTCAGTGCGCAGAGAGGCTTGAAGTGGGTGGTGATTCTCATCCACACAGAAACCAAAAAACCTGGGTGTCCTATTGGAGAAACACGGGGTGACTCTTCACATGGAGGGGGGCTTTGGTAGGAAGAAATGAGGGAGACAGCATTCCTTATTGCTTATAAATATAATTTATTACCTGTTTAAAAATTCTTTCTTACAATTTATACATGTTGGCTGACGGAATAAATGCAGGCAATTTACAAACCAAGGGGACTGCAGGAAAATGGGGAGAGGCATCAGAGAGAGAACAGGGGCGTGCCCGGCGCCGGCACGCTCACCTTTGCCACGTGGCGCTGTGGTAGGCCCGGTGCCTGGGGAGCTCTTGTCCTCCGCCAGGGGTTTTCTAGAAAAGGAATTGCATAGAAGATAGAGCGAGAGGGAACTCCACGACAACAAAAGAAGTGTTCCATATCTGAAAGCCAAGGTTGTATTGTTGCGTTTGAAAAAGGAAAAATGACAAAGCACAAAACCTCCATCTGACATTTCTGCAGTTGAACAGTTCCAAAGGGAACGGCAGGTGGATGTCACAGGCTCTTCAGCGCAGACTGCTGGGGCTTTTTCTCTGACAAACATTGGTTGTCTTCTTTAGAAAGAACAAGGAGAAAGGTCACCAAGCTCGACATCAAACCCGATGGACACAGAGAGCACTGTGACATCCCACGCGAGCACGCGGAGTGATGCTGTCCCTGCACCTGGGCTCAGGGCGCTGTCTGGAGGATGAGGGCGTCACCACCAACAGGTCTAGGAAGGAACAGAAGGAGAAACCAAACCACAGACTGCACCTTCCACGTGTTCCCACTGCGGTCCCTCTCTTTTCCAAGGCCCGGCAGTATCCACTGGTGTTTGGAACTCTACCCTAGCAGGTATCATAAGAGACTAAGGACATAAAAAGGCAAAGGCATTTTCTACTGTCTGTAGCTTTCTTGCTCTTTTATGCCATTCTAAACAAATCTGTTTGAACAGAGAGAGCATAGCTCTCAGGTCATGATTCTCGGATGTTGCCTCATCATCGTGCTGAGGTTCAGAGCCAGGGTTCAGGTTCTGAACTCCAGCTCTGAGGACTATTCCTCAGGGTTGGTGCCA